CTTCTACTACTACAACAACTACTACTACTACTACTACGACGACGACGACTACTGCTACTACTACGACTACTACGGCTACGGCTACGACTACGACTACGACTATGACTACGACTACTACCACCACCACCACCTCCAGCACCACCGCGACCGCTACCACTACCACGACCATTACGACTCTGTTATGTTGGCAGGAAGGGGTTGTGCCGGTCCTGCTTGTCGGCTAACGTCATGACGAAGAAGCCTGACACCCCAAGAAGATGCAGTCTCACGAACAGGGGAGCCAGTGGACAAGATGGCCAGGAGCAGACATGTCGGACTCTCAGATCCGAGTACGACTTCCCATCTTCCAGGAGTCCAAGCTGTCGATTACTCTGCGGCTTTTACAAGCTTGATGCATAGGGTTTCCATTTGGATTTGTCTTTATCTTTTCGCTGAAGTGTTCACTTTTCTTATGGAGCCGGCGTATGCTGAAATGATGGGATGTTGCTTGCAGCTGAGCTGCGAGGTGAGACTTGAAAGCTCAAGAAGACTTCCTGACACATGGTGCAAGTTTTCGGGGTCCCTGACAGTCTTGTCGATGTTTCTTTAAGTGGTGCGGTTGATTCGTGTGAGACACATATTCAAGCAACGGGCAAGCCTGGGTCGTTGAAATGCAGCTGTCGCATGACACTCTGGTCACTGACCTTAGATTCGCTGAACCATGCAGAACCCCAAATCCAACCGACTGGTGTTGACCTGAAATGGTATTCCGCGATTCTCTCCAGCAAGGCCCCGAGCGGCCAGCACGGAAGATAAAGCCAGAAGTGCGATGCGTGGATGCAGTTGTTGTTTGGAGTTTGCTCTCGATTTCCGTAGCACGGTTTCGTTCCCAGGGTCGTGCGCCTCAGGTTTCTCTGACCTTGCCGCCGTTCATAATTTGTGCTCCTTCTTGTGTCCACTTGTTCAACGTCTGAGTCGCTGTTCGACGAAGACTAGCAGACTTTGCCAGGCTTACCTAAAAAAGCGTGAGACCTTCCAAAATATCCTGAGTATGGGACGCAGATCCAAGATCCAAAGCTTTACATAATTCGGGGTTCCTGAGTTGGGGCTCCCACTGTCTGGAACTCCGAAATACCCGAAGCTAGATCCTCGTCTCACCGTGAAGAACCTAAGTGCAAAAGCCCAGTTGTTTGTCGTTACTGAGTGACCGAATTGAATGCTGAGTCAGGAAAGAGACTGAAGAAAGAGCTGCACGCGAGAAGATGCAGAAGGCCTTGAGGAATCAGCGGCAGAGTTGTCCTCTCGGTCGGGCTAGGGGCTTAGGCTTTTCAGCAGCTGTCGTCCAGGCCTGCTATGCTTGTTGTTGAAACGGTGCAAACTCCGTACGCGATTTCTAATCATATGGAGGGGTGTGTTTGATGGTTGCCATGTTCATCTTCCCAGCTCTCAATAGCAAGGTTTGCTTGCAATAGTTTTCAATACTTCCATTGCCGCTGCTGCGTTTGCTGCTACTGCTAATCCTCCTAGCGCAACTGCAGCAACAACAACAAGTGCTACGACTCATGGTGCTGCTGCTGCTGCTTCTACTGCCACTCCTACTGCTACAGCTAGTACTCATGGTGCTGCTTCTGCTGCTGCTGCTGCTGCTGCTGCTGCTGCGATCACTTGTATGACGACGACGACGACGTCTACTACAACCGACAAGAGCTCCTCCTCTTCCTCTTCCACCTCAACTTCCTACTCCTGCACACCTACACCTAGACGTACACCTAGTCCTTGTCCGAGTCCTAGTCCTATATACTACCAACACTGACACTGACACTTGTTTATTCATAATTAAATTACGACTACGACGGCTACTGCGAGTAGCGGTTCAGAATCAGCATGATAGCGTCAGTAGCGGTGTCGTACTAGGTCTCGCTGTGCCTGAACCCAGGCAGACAAACAGCCTTCTCAATTTATCCTTGACCTCCTTCACGGTGTGTGTTGTAGAGCCCGTACGGATGAGCGGCGACAGCCAAGCCGTGAAGTGCTCACATCACTCTAGACCAGGGACTGCATTGAACTTTCCAAACCCAATTCATGCACGAAGATCGTGAGTGATCTCAACGGTTGTGTGATTCTTGTGCTTCGAGGATGCGCGTCTTAGTTGCCCCTGTTGTTGCCATTGCCACTAGTTTCTTGGATCAGACTTGAAATGTTTGTAACTCCCTTCAGCAGTTTTCAGCATCCCTGCAAATGGCGAAGCTCTTCTTTGCAGGCCGCTGAGCATAAAGCATCTTCCCTCATGGACACGGTGATGAAGCAAATCGCTGGGGGCCCTACGCTTCGGGTATAGGCCTGATGCAGCACCAGAACTTCCACAGCAGCGAATGACGGCGCTTGTGACGTTTGTTTGATGGAAACGGCAGTTTTTTCCCGGGTGAGAGATAATCAGGCGGGATGTCACCCAAAGAAAGACATGCAGCCTGCTCCCGACATGTCAAACATCAGATCTTTGCTGCGAGTATTGGAAGTTCGAGCGCCGCGTAGCAAGGTCCAACGAGGGAAATAACAGGAGAATGCAACAACGAGCATCTCGAACCTAAAAAAGTCAAGTCGTATTCTCAACCTGAGCCCTATAAACGAAGACGAGCAGAAAGAACGGCTCTTTAGCAGAAGCTCCAAATCGCGGAGCTGCATTCTTCGATGGCCACTTGCAGATGGATGGCGCAGCACAGGCCGGTGCTTTGCTTTTGATTTGAGAGGCGTCCTGCACCAGGCATTCTACTCTTGGGATCCTTCTTCCAACAGGTCTTGTGTTTGATTGAAATTCCGACTTAGCTTTGCACCACAAGATGATTCCTTTAAAGAATGTTCCCTCTGAGGCAAGGAAGCTCAAAGTCACGGGCGTAGGGTTTTGGGGCCCAGGGTCTTGGGGTCTGGTTTTTCTTGTTAAGGCTGGCAAGTTACCAGCACGTATACACGGGCCTGCAATGTGTGTGTGTGTGTGTTCCTATCGACCCAATGAGACTCGAAGTGCCAGCAACTCGCAGATATTTCTCTTTCCCGGATGTCGTACAGTCCTGCAAGCAGATCGCGAGTTGATGCCAAAAGAGTCGCTGGGGTGTCTTTTGCAGAGGAGTGTGTGCCCCTGCATAGCAGATTCCTCACCCTGACCTAGGGTCAGCCGGCGTACCAGTCGGAGGGCACTGCCAGCGGAGAAGTTCTGGGCACGGTGGCCGAGGTCCGTTTTTTGTGGAGCTACTCCTCGACCGCTTCTGGTGAGCAATGCCATACCGAGATGGACCATAAGAACACTTAAGAATGGAAGCGCTCACCGCAGCAGCTTTCACTATGTCAAGGGAGGGTAGGGACATCGACGTGATGTGCATCCTTACTGCCCGTGTTATTACCGGTATTGTTGTCGTTGTCGTCGTCTTCGTCGTCGCGGTCAGCATGTCGCATGCTACTTACCAGGCGAAGTTTATGCCTCACAACAGACAGTAATTACTGCCACAGGGCAGCCTCGAGCATCAACAGCCTGATTCCTGCAACCTGCGCAGAGCCATCGGAAGTACTGCCACAGACCCGCCCAACAGAGTCAAAGAGACCGCATGCAGTAAGCACTCCCGGTCCATGTGCAGGTGCAGCTGCGTGGCAAGCGCCTTGCCTTCGTCTTTCTCCATAGCGACGGCTCCGAACGCATCTTTCCGGCAAACAGGATGTGGTTTCTGTTCGCACCCTCGAGGCTTCGAACAATATGCGCGGAATCTCCATGACTTACTGAGCGATCCTGAAAGAAAGTCACCAGAACTGTAGCTGCGCAGAGAAACAGATCCCTAAACCTTGCCTGCCGTGTGCGAGTTGTGAGAGTCGAAGCCTGTCCCTTGACGTCTTAACGGCCCCAAACCCTAAAGCTTGTTCGTGTAGCTGCAACTACGGGTGGCCTGGGCCTGCAGCAATCTGTGTCACAACGACTCGCACCTATGAATCCTCGCCTTGCTGGTCCGAGTTGTGAGAGCGTAAAGCTTGTTCGTGCATGGGGTTGCAGGTGTTAGGATTTATGGCTCAAGGCTTCATAGGATTTGGCTTCTGGAATTCAAGGTGCCAGGGTCAGGAGCCCTAGCCAGTTCTGAGGTGTGCGGGTCGTCTTCGACCGACGACTCTTTGACAGCAGCTCGAGCGAGCTGCCTTTCCCATCGAAGAGCCCCTGGGAGAATGTTGGCGATTGCATCGATTTCGGTCATGTCTCTAAGAGACTCAGTTTTGCGTTGACGGCTCTAAGTTTAGCATATGACAGTTCTTCAGTTGATCATGTTGATCTACACCAGAACTTTCTCCCTTTTGCATGCAGGTCTCCACGCTGACACGGTTCGTGTTGAGGCACCATGGCCGCACATCAACTGCTGCCAAAACAGACGGACTGGGTCAAGAGGCAGAATGCCGGTCCAAGTTGGTCCGTAGGGGTTTATGACGGTGTCCCTACAAGGCCAGAAGTCATCCCAAGCAGAGCTGCTCTCACTTCGATTCCATAGTACGGCACGGCATCCTTTGTCGCTCCCCGCATCTACTGGCTATTTGTATTGTGAGTCGTTTCCGCAATGGTTTTAGCTTGCTGTTGTCAGTTCTAACTGTTTCGGCAACCGACCGCCGCGTCATCATCGTCGTTGCTGTGGCACCGCGCCCGTCATGTGCTGTGAATCGCCCAGTAGAGATGAGGCCCGCCCTGAGCCCGATATTTCTGCCACGCACAACCATTTCTGGGCCACAAGAGGAGCCACCATCCAATCAACAAAGCTGTAGCCAAAGCGGCCGAAGCCGCATTTTCTTCTTGAGCTCTTTGTGCAAGTTGCGAGAGTCGAAACCTTAAGCCCCAATCCTAAATGCAGAGTGCTCGCCGAAACCCTAAATCTAAGGTCCAGCAGACGGAAGGCGGCAAAGATCTCTTCGGCCTCAGACGCCCGCTTGCACTTCACCAGGTCGGGGGGAGATGTGCGATCTGTGCAAGCCAGGCGGGTGAGGGGTCCCGATTACAGTGCTGAGTACACTCGCCCTTAAACGGATGCCCAAAACAGGCCCGACAATGTAGAAGAAGCTTCATGTCTGTCACGGAGCGCCTTGCGAAGTACGACTTGGCACCCCTGTGTATTTCGGAAGAAGTAGCAAAGGTTTGCTAGCCAGACCCGTTCCTAGTCCAGCGAAGTCTTACAAGCTGCAGATTCATGTTTAAAGGTCCACACAGCAGAGGAACGAAGTGTCAAAGCACCCTTTCTCGTTTGAGGATGGTTCCGTCTCCCTCAAGAGGCGCGGCTATCGCGGCTATTGGACCGGAGCTTTGACTACCCTGGAGGGTGAACGAGACGGAAAAGTCACGTTAAACAAGAACACCCCAAAGCCGAAGACCCCCCAACAACAAATTGCGATCCTTCGTTGAGTAGTCAATGAAGTCCCCAACTAGGTATGTTTGAGGAGCTGGCGACTTGGTGTGCGCGCTGGATGTTTTCCCATGATTAGGTTGTTACGTAGTGGAGTATGTGTTGCGGTCAGACCCGCTGAAGCGTGATGGTTTCACCTGAGCAGTCTCGCGAACCCACATGCCTCGCCTGCATTGTCCGATTGTGAGCGCCGAAGGCCGAAGACCCTGAAAATGCCTCGCCCGGAGTGTCCGAGTCTAAGCGCCAAAAGACCCCAGAACCCAAAAATCCTAAGCCCCAAACCTTGGACAGTGACAGGTTTCGGCTGGATCGACTCCTGGGATCCCAGAACCGCCGAGAGGGCGAAGGCGCCTTCGGAGCAAAGCTGTCGGTTGCAAGGTGAAGATCGGTCGTCGAGACTTGGGGCCTTTGGTGGTTTAGGGGTTTACGGCCGGGCTCTGTGAGTTTCACCCAGCGCGAACGCACAAGTGATGAGCCGACCCCAAACTCAAACTTACCCCAACCCTGGATGCCGCTTCGCAGGTCAAGCTCGACCTGGGTTTGCTGCCCACTTTGCTCGGCGACGTCCATGCGGCGATTTAGCCTGGATCGAGGGCTCATCGTCTGAACTTGGGCATGTTGTTAGTCCGGGCTTGTTTGTTATAGTCATAGTTTTGAGTTAATTCAATGGCGGTTAAGGGCAGAAGCACAACATGTGTTGCAATAGTGAAGCTGCAGAGCAACGAAGAGGAACGTGAGCAGCGCAGCACACGATGCAATGTCATGGAAAGTCAAGGCTGGCAGTGAAAATTATGTTGCCCAGGCTGCGTGCACACCTAGACGCTGCCACCCGGCCTAATGCACCCGAGTCCTGGTCCATCTTGCTGGCCCACGACATTTCGGGATCCTTCGTAAAAGATTCCTTTGCCGCCTTCCTGCCCATGTTCTCACCCAGAGTTGCATGCCGACGAACCGTTGTTGGTCCCTCACATGTCTATCCATCCAGGTGTATGTGTTCGTCACTCTCTCTCTCTCTCTCTCTCTCCCTCTCTTTGCCTCACCCTCTCTCTGATAGGTTGGCAGGGAGATAGGTAAGCAGATAAATGGACAGATAGATAGATAGATAGATAGGTAGATAGATAGGTAGATAGATAGGTAGATAGGTAGGTAGATAGATAGATAGATAGGTCGATGTACATGTGTGTGTGTGTGTGCGCGTGTACGTATGTATGTATGTATGTATGTATGTATGTATGTATATATGTATGTATGTATGTATGTATGTATGTATGTAACCAAGTAAGTAAGTAAGCATGTATGTATGTATGTATGTATGTATGTATGTATGTACGTAGACGAAGGGCTTTGTTTGTCAGGTAGTTGCAATTGGTACGCAGAGAAGCATCACACAAGTCTTGTGTGCATACCTACTGCCATGCATAAACAGGTTCTCATGTGCAACTTGTACGCGTACATGTGTTCGAGAGTGCATCCACAACCGGCTCGGCTGGTGTGATCCGATTTCGAGTTGTGACATGCACTAGCCTCTGCTACTTTCCCGTGGTAGGTATCAGAGTGTGCATGTTGTTGTGAGCTTTCAGGCTTCGCATAAACTTCCAGTAAGATGGGTAAACCACGTTTGACTTTCTGCAAAGCAAGTGCGCTTACTTAGATGGTATATATGTATGTTTGTATGTACAAGTGTATATGCATGGATGGATGTATGTAGGTAGGTATGTACGCACATCTGTCGGCTTAGTTTTATGTTTATGACGGGAGCTGGGGTCATCGTTGTCCATGCGGTCATGTATGTATTTCTTTGTTGCTTTACCTGTCTGTTCATATCGTGTATTTGTGCATAAGTATGTGTTTGTGAGCGGGGCCATGCTTCATGGCCAGAGGGAACAGTGTCTGCTGAGAGGGGAAGACTCGCCGAGTACAGGCTTTCCTCCGGAAGAGATTTCCTTTGAATTTACGGGCCGTGGGAGTGTAAAATGATGATCTGATGAATCTAATGATAATGCTTTGAGGATCGCGGAAGTTTGCCTCTGGAAGAGATATCTTCCTTCGGATGTGATTTTCAGGATGCAGAGTTTCTTGTTGGGGTTCAGGCTATAAGCGCTCTGGATTTTGTGTTCGCTACCGGCTTTTTGCAATGCCAAATCAGGAAAGAAGTGGGAATAATTAGTGAAAGTATGCCGCTCCGGTCCCCAAGTAGTAAAACCAACATATCTAGTCTGTTTCGGAAAGCACCGGCCCCCCATGCGGTCTTTGCAGTTGTTGAAAGTTGACAGGGGCTGAGAGGTTCCACTCTTTTTCTTCCTTACCCTGTAAAGGGTTTCTAGAAGGGCTACTATGCGGGGTACTCTAAGGGTTTCGTATCCGGGCCCGAAGAAGTAGAGTAGGGTTTCGGGATCCCAAGGTGCACAGCGAAGGAGATGAGCCCAAGGAGCTGAAGGAGGCCAAAGTATCGTATGGTTTAAGGGTTCGGGACTCAGGTGAGGAGGCCGGTTCAGGGCTCCTGTACTTTGGACATCGGCTTGTGGGTGCATGGGTTGTGAGAGAACTTGGTGGCTTTCGCCATTTCACTGGTTGGTGTTGTCCATTTCCGGCACGCCTTGACTCGGTTGCAACTGCAGCGCACAGAAAGCCTGACTTGGCTACCTGACTTGGCTACCCTCCACGTCCACGCTGTGGCACTGAAGCCATCTTTGAGGAACATGTCGGGGTAGGGCTTAAATTGGGAGCAAGGCCCAGAAATCTGCAGTTGTGATGATGTGGCGCCAAACATCAGGCTTTTTAAACTTGGCTTCCGGATCGATGGGGCTTGTATTCTGTGCTGACCCCTAGATCCAGCTTTAGATCCCGAGTTGGTAGAAGTGTTTCGGACTGCGTGGGGTTGGTAGGGGTGTGGCGGGCGGGGAGTCGGGTGGAGAAGCGCAAAGAAGGAGCCCATGCGCTCCCACATCCTACCCTGAACCCATTAGAACGATTCCGGCCAAAATCCTTTGCAATCATAGAAACTCGGCAGAGAGGCCTGGCATCGGAAGATGGCGGATATGGCTGAGGCCCCCTATGCTTCTCGCTGTGCCACTGTTGGTTCGTAGGTAGCTAACTAGGATGCTGGATGTGTTTATGTTGCCTGTCTTCAGTGTTTGGTTTGCCAACATTTCTGGCGGCTTTGGGGGACAATCTGTGGCATTATCGCCGGTAGTCTGAATGGCCAACATTACTAGTCAACAGTAGTATTGCTAGTGTTCTTGAAAGTCACGCTGTTTTACTTTTGTCACGTGCATGTTTGTTCCTTCTTCTCCACTCCTCTGTCCTGAAGCTGCCCCGCCTCAGAGCTCCAAGCCCTGCGTGTGAATGGTGGGCTTCCCGACAGCATTTTTCAAACGTGTTGCTCATAATACCCGTGCAGTTTTGTCGAATTGCCAAGGTTTCCTGCATGACTCTACTGAGTACGCAGCTTTCCGAAGAACGGCCCGTCCCAATATTTGCTGCAGATTCTTTTTTCTTTGGGAAAAATCAGATTCTGGATCTGCGCTTGCGCTTATGCCCGGTGAACTTAGGAGCGTTCGTGCTGGCAGAATCAACTTGTTGAAGATATGTACATAAAGTTCCTGAGCTTGATCGTGAAAGGTTTAAAAATGGTTTCCGTACAAACGCTCTCCTGACCTGCGCTCCGGCTGAAGCTTGTGCCTGTTGCGCGAAGCACATAAACCTTTCTGTCGAACTAAGGGACCTCACGTGTGGATGCCACTGTCTGTGTGGTTTCCCGGTACAGATTCAAGACATCTGGTCCCATGAATAGGATTTCACGCGTCTCTTGCACTCCCCTTTGCAACAAGATCCAGATCGTCATTCCTGGTGGATGCACGAGTCCTCCCATTCTCCCGCTTGGTTCGTCAGGCTTTCGCACACATTTCGCCCAGCCTGAACCTGTGTGGCCGATTCTGACTGTCATCGAATCAGGCACGTGGCATTTTCTCTCATCGCAGCGCCGAAGGGCTTGGTGGAGCCAGGCTTCTGATACAGCTTTAGTGAAGGTAGGTTTTCGTGGCGCCATAGCGTCGTTGACAGGGATATGCAGTGTTGTCGCGGCTGTGGCATCAACAAACGGTGGTGGTTGAACATGGGTTCCCATGTCAGGCAATGAAAGTTACATGTTTCGCTTGACTACTCAATGCCGTGAGTCTTCTAGAAACGACCGCAGCTTCCAGACGTCTCGCAAACGTAAGGCTTGCTGCTCACGGGACATGCCAGGCGCAGTGCTTTCATCAACAACCAGGCAACAACGGACGACCGGAAGTACCGCGGCTTCAATCGGGGTGCACCGGTGTGTGTGTGTGTGTCTTTGTGTGTGTGTGTGTTTGTTTGTTTGGCTTGGCTGATCCAGCTAACATGAGATCAGCGGAGCATTCAGGGCCCGGATGTCTTGTCCAAAGCGAATGTAGCCGAATGACCGAATGACCAAACCTGCTTGCATGATCATCGGTCCTGTTCCTTTAATTTAGGCTCGCTGTCTGCGTGCTCAGTCCTGGCACTGATAGAGTACGTTGCTAATCAGAAGCTTGGGTGCTTGAGCTTCTCGAATTCGGGCGAGTGAGTGGCAAAACATGAACAGCAAACCTGCAAAGTTAAAGCTGATTGTCGTTCCAAAGAAGCGAGCACACATGCGCATGGCGAAAATATGTAGGAGTTGGAAACTCACATTCTTTGCCTCCCACCCCGCCCCCTAAAATCTGCCTAATTGAGGCTGTCGCCAGCGCTTGAGGCTGCGAGGACAGGCGATGTCACCACCCTGGAGGGCCTTCTTCGCGAAGGTGGGGCAAAAGGAGGAGATCTAAGATCATCCCAAAGAGTCCTCAAGCATCCCATGGTTGAGTTGGACATGTAGCGCTTCAGAAGTGTATTTTTGGCAGTGTCGGAGTGTCAGCAGTTCGTTCGGTGGGCAACCCGACAGTGCGACGCATCTGTGTCTGGCACACATGCTAAGACTGCTAAGACCAACCGCGAGATCTGCATTCGGTTGGTTTCAGTCAGCCACGGCACCCGCTGCGGCCGAGCCAGGATTGGTTGAAGCGCTGTGCTAAGCAGTACCGACAGCATCTGTAAGCTTCTTTTGCAACTGCACCCCAAGAGTTCAAGAGAGGTTGGATGTGATGTCGTAGTGATTGTAGTGACTGTCTGACAGTCTTCGGGTCCTTGCGCAGCCATGGCCGTCAAGAAGAAAGGTGCTCAGACGGGGAAACCAAGCTCTGCGAAGCAGTTCTTCTTTGTAATGTTGCTGCTAGGGGCAGGCTTTTCAGCTGGCTTCCTATTTCAAGGCAAGGCACGGCCCCCTCCTGGAACCGGCTCAGAGATGATTCGCCGCTTTAGCGAAGAAGCTGCTTTTAGAGACGAGCGGGCGGCTCTAGTAGCTCGCTTGCAAAGTGCAGAGCACCAGGAAGTTCTGGGTAGAGAGAGTAGCATGGACAGCGGCGCAGGCCCGGAAGCAACTCTCCCAGTGGCCGACAGACACGACCCACTAAGTCCACAGCCACCCCCGGCTGCTGCAGGAAGCACGTTGGCCTATGCTCCAACAGCTGTCGATGGATCCGCCACTACTACTGGCAATCAAGAACACGTGGCACGTGAAACGGATGAAGCAGGGGGTGATGCCGGTGATGTGGATAGTGTCGCGACAAGACCGGTCCAAAGGCGAGGGAGGGCTTTCGAGATAAATCAAGGACATGCATCCCAACCTCCAGCCACAGCTCTGCAACGGCGCTTGGGCTGCACGAACTGTTGCAACGATGGCCACCACAACGGGCCTTGCTTTGATGTGGAGGCTTGTGCTGCTGGCGTAAGTGGCGGAAAGTATGCTTTCGTTTATGCACATGTAGGGGTTCCAGGTTGGCCTTGGCTCACCTTTTTGGACTCCATGCGTGCGCAAGCCCTCCTCCTGGAGGAGACGACCGGCGGAATTGTAGACATCGTTGTTATGATGCCGGCGAAAGATGTTAAGGAGTTGGGGTGTCATCAGCGAGCGCTCGTGCACAACTACGGCATCCGCATCTATGAAGTGCCATGGACGATTCCACCCAATTCTTGGTATCCGGACTACTGGTGGCCGGGCAAGGCAGATGGATGGTGCGGACCTCAAGATTTGATGCGTTTACACGCGTTAGGAATGGATGAGTACAATGCCGTGGTTTTCTATGACCAAGATGTGGAGTTCCAGGGAGATATGACTGCTGTACTGAAGTGCGCCGCAAAAGGCTACTTTATCAGTGCTAGTGGCGGAGTGGGCGAGCCATTCAACGTGGGTTTTTTTGCTCTTCGCCCGGACAAGAGGCTGTTGCGCGCCGCTGAATTCTTCGGTGCAAACGTGACGTTTACCGTTGCGACCGGCTGGGGGCGATGTGGTTTTCTTCCAAGTGGGAATAAGTTTGTGGGCGCAGAGTGTGGGCAAGGTTTTTTCCACACCCTCTTCTACAAGAAGTGCACACCTGTCGAGACATCCCTGGTCGCAGCCGGCCTGCACGACTCCGCCGGCAAAGCGTACTTGCACCTGGAGTCTGTTATGGTCGACCGGTGCATATGGAATTATCAAAACGATGGTGACTGCGGTGGCAATCCTCGCTTCGACTGTAACGCCATTCGTGTGCACCACAAGCCGACAAGCAAGCCGGAGAATGACCGACTTTGCGGCAAACTGAAGCATCACCACGGCGGCTGGAGTGGGGAGCCAAGGTCTCCTTTCCTTCCTCCACCACCTGCCCCCGTGTCGCACCTCAGCCGAGGCCGAGGTGCTACCGGTGCTTGCGTCAAAGAATGCGTGGATGTTGGTAACAACTGTATCTGCAACAACCCCACGCCTCCGGCACATCACATCAAAGTTGTCACGGTCTCCAAGACGCTGGTGCATTGCCAGACGCAGGCCAGGCTCTGTCAGCTTCAGGATGAAAGCCCTCAAGATAATCTTGTGTCCTACGCTTTGCCCGGCGATTTCGCCATGCTTTGCCATGGTAACACTGACTGCTCTTACCGTAGGCAGTGTCTTCTGTATCATGAAAAGATATGAAAAGGAGAAGTAGGCTGCGATGCAAAGCCATGCATTTTTGACGCAGAGCAGACCGCAAGCCGGTTTGCACCAAGTATATGATAACATGCGTAGTCGAGCTCTTGGTGGAGTATAAACTGCCGTGTGCCATGCAGCACAGCATAATCTTAAGCAACGACAGAATAAAGCTAAAATGAACTGCGACAAAACTAACGGATGACCGGTGGAGCAAGTGTATTGTGTGATCGAGAGCTCATCTCAACTTAGAATCGGAATCTCCTGTTCTTGACTCATCACTGCAACTGCGAAGGTGGTTTGCTAGCAGGTTTCAACTGAAATGGCCTTCGAAAGCTGGTGTGTGTGTGTGTGTGAAGGAATGCTCTTTTGCATGCGCAAGAGCGCGCAGAGACGAAAAGTCATATCGTTTGTGCCCCTTTGGAGATCACGCAAACATGTTTTTGAGCCAAACCTGTGTGTTCTCAAGAAAGCCAAAAGTGCATGCAAGGGCCGGCGCAGGGCCTGATACAATGGTCACTCATCGGCACACTATATGTTGAATCAGCACCTGTATCTAGAATCTAGCCCAGTGAAACAGAAACAACAGAGACTACATATACAGCAAATCTCATGAAGCACAACTCAGAAAGCATTGTACTTCTAGTGCGAAGCTGTGTAGGCAATAAATGCACGTAAACCGGTAGCGCAAACATCAGCGATGTTAAGTGCATTTCATGGCGTTCACCTCACGCAACTTTGTATGGTCGCGTATCAGGGCTCGTGAGGCAGTGAGATGTGGAGCAGTCGGAAGCAACCTGGCGCAATGCTTTGCAAGGCAGCCAAACAAGATGGTCTGTAAAGAGGGTTCGGGGCAAGGCGAAGGCACATGTACAGTAAGGTATCACAGGTCCCACAACGCAGGCAGGTATTGACTCAGATCATTTATGCTCTACGTGTTTAAGTCACACAAATCTTTTCTGTTTGCACATGTTTATTATGTTTATAGGTCGATGGATACACCTTCCAGGTGAAAAGCTCCAGCAACGACCGATTCGAGGTGAAAGTGACGGGGTCTTCTCAGCTGACCGTGACCCGGGTCGACGCACCGTCCTGCCTCTAAGCTGTTGTTGAACTTCGTCTTTAGACATCTCAAGAAGCTAAGGTTAAGTTTGCAGCGGAATCAACGTAGCTGACGACAGTATAAGTCACAAACCTGTCTGACAGCCCAGGCTGGTGTGATGCAGTGACGGTAGAATGCTGCGTCCAGTAATGATCCAGTACGAGACTGCTTTCTCTTCGTGAACCGGGCCTACAGCTCATCTCGACGCCGCGGCTTTTACATTCAATCTGGCCTGAAGGCGGCGCCTAAGGGGACGGCGAAGCAGGCGATCTCTGGCCTAGTATTCGGGTTCAAGGTCACGGGCCACCGCAAGAATTCCCGGCGCTTGATCGAGGCTCTGCAACCGATGGCATCCGAAGGTCTTTATAAAAGTGCTTGTGCTGCCGAGATATTCCGACGCTTCAGAGGTCAGCACTGAACCGGTAATAAACTCAGGACGCAGGACGCTACCAGTACTTCTATGTACGAATTCTGTTGGTGCGACTAGTACTCGTATCGTATTACTGGTCTAGAAGATCGATCCCCCATGTCTTGAAAGTCGCGCATCACAACTGAAACCGTAGACACAGATACCTATAGCTGCTGAGTCGAGGACTTTCCCTTGTCTGACACTCTTGCATCACAACTTCAACCAGAGAGACATAAATGCCCTGCCCACAATGGCAGAGTCGATGATTTGCTTCGGGGCTTCCACTCCAGAGGATTTGCATGTCGAGGGCTTGAGGCGTTTGGAGCTTCAAGCTAGGAAAGGGGCTTATGAGTGTTTTGAAGCATTGAAGATCGTAGTGGCTGCACATCAAGTGCTGCTAAAGTGTCGTGAGTGGTAGCTATTGTTAGTTGTCGTAGTGCCCAGATGAGAATGACCGTGGTTGCTGGTGCCCGTGTCGCTGCTGCTAGCTATTTCTATCAGAATTGCCATCCAAAACTCCTGAAGTCGTGCGTTCTTAGTTTGCATGTGGCTAGGGAAAAGTGTTGTTGTTGGGTTTTGATGCGCGGTGCTTCGTCTTATGTGCGCTCGAACCGTTATGGTTCGAACTTAGCTCGTAGCACCATGTGGTTTAGGCAGTATCTCCAAGAACAAGCGACCCCAACGTAGACAGCTGGTCCGAGTACACGAGACATAAAAACCGCAAAATAAGGTATGAACCCTGAAGATTTCTCAAGCCTGCGCCTAAACCCAACGCGCCCCGGAAATCCGAAACGCAAAGGCCCATATTGAAAGGGACTTCCAACTTCGTGGAAAGCCCGCAGAAGCAGGCTCATCTGAGCTCGAACCTGGAACCGCCAGGGATAGGTCTAGGTCTATAGAGTTCATGTTTCGCTTGCAGGGTTTGGGCTTTGATTCGGTTTGGACTAGGTCGGGCGGCTCCGTTTGCAGGCTGGCAACCCTTTCGAGCAGCTTCGTTGGACAAGCACGGCGCCAGTGCTCTGGACGGGCTTTGGGCTGCGATGGGGTTCAATCAAAGCAGGAGGAGCATCTTTACCAAAACTCCATAAGCACAAACTCTGTGGCTAGCTCCTGTGTGCTGAACCTCGATGCTGACTGGCTCCAATTTCATACTGGCTCCGGTGTATAACGCTACCGGACTTGGAGCAGCCACCACCACCAGCATCACCAGCAACAGCAACAACGACAACAGCAGCAGCAACAAGAACAAGAACAAGGTAGTAGCGCTTCCGCCGCCACGAAGGATGTGCCGTTCTTGTGTTCGTGATTTTCGCAAAGAAAGAGTTTCCTTGGCTTTTGCGAATTGGATGATGTTGTGGGGAATGTTTTGTTTGTTCACGCCTTTTTTCCTGAGTGTGTGTACGGAAGTGTCGCGTGTTTTTATGGCTTCACTCCTGAGCGCGTTTCTGAAGTGTTTGTTCGGAGAGCCCGCGAGGCTCGAGACTGCTGTTTTAGGACTGTCTCCAGGAACAATGAGAATTTGCGTGATTTGGCACAAGCCGCATTGCCATTAGCGGTAGGTGCTAACACCGGTTTCAATAATTTTTGTTTCAGGATTTCATTGGATTTTAGATGGGATTGTACTCGGTTGTACCGGTGTTTTAGTGGGCTCCAGAGGGTTTTCGCGGCTTTATCAAGGTTTTCGACGGGTTTAACGAGATTTGGAACACCATCAACAATCAACACCCTTCTAAAACTGAAAAAACGCTTCCAGAACCCATTAACACCTTCTACATACATAGAAACATTTTGAAATCCTTTCAACACCGTCAACAGCACTGCTAAGCACCGTTGACCTCCTTCCTAAAACCCTGGTGGAACTACACTTGCAGAGTTCTATTCCTGGCACGGAACTGTGGTGTATGGTAGGTGGTTGTTGTAAAGTGGCGGCGGTCAAACAGCAGACAGGGCTCCAGTTTTTGTTTTGTCTGTAGCTGCAGGTAGAGAAAACGTTGACTTCAACGAACCGGGCCTTTGTTTCTATCTGCTGCTTGAGACAAAGACTGGAGCCCCATCTGTCGTTTTGAGCCTTTCAAAAACCACCCATATTGAATGCTGTTTCTATTGCAGCGGCAGCTGCTTTGTAAGCCATGGTTCGCCCGACACTAGCACTAAACATGAGTTGCGGGCTGCTGTTGGTGTCTGTACCAACAGCATCCACAACAACAAAATAACAACAAACAACAACAACCACAACCTCGACGACAGCAACAGCAACAGCAACAGCAACAGCACAACCGCCACCAGCAGAAGCAACAACACCAGCAGTAGCAACATCAACAACAACAGCACAACAGCAACAACAACAAGAATAATATTAATAATAACATCAACAGCAGCAACAACAACAACAACAGCAATAGCAATACTGTAGCGATAGCAATAGCAATAGCAACCAACAACAACTAACAACTTCATACACACTCACAAAGACCATGACAACGACAACAGCAGTGTCAACAACACCAACATCAACAACATCAACAAAAACCGCAACGACGACGACAAAACAGCCAGCAAACAACAAAGCGACAACGACAACCACAACACCACAACCGCAACCACAGCAACAACAACAACAACAGCAACAGCAGCAACAACGGCACCAACAACCACAGCGCACCACCATCAACAGCAACAGCACAAGCCGCCTTGAAAACAACAACAACAACAACAACAGAATAACAGCTTCACAAACAGCCACAACGACCATGGCAACGACAACCGCAACAACATCAACACCAACAACACCAACATCAAGAACAGCTAACAATATCATCAGCAACAACCAGCCGCAACAACAATAATCACCATAGCAGCAACAACCACACCCTCACAAACAGCAGCACCACCACCACCAACAACAACAATAACAACAACACCAGCATCAACAACAACAGCAGCAACAACAACAACACCATACTACTACTACGACAACGACGACGACGACGACGACGACGACGACGACGACTACTACTACTACTACTACTATCACTACTATGACTATGACTATGACTATGACTATGACTATGACTATGACTATGACTATGACTATGACTATGACTATGACTATGACTATGACTATGACTACTACTACTAC